TTTTTGATCGGCGTATAACAAATTGGACGTTTCAAACGAATTTTTTTTGAAATAATTCTTTCGAAACTGAACCAGTTAGATTGAATTTGTAACTTAATGAATATCTGAGGTAACAATGAGGTATATAGATAGCGATGATATCCACTATGGAATTTATGAGCGAATTAATTAACCACGAAGCCACGTAAAGCACTTTGATGTTTCGACAGGCTTCCCACAGAATATGTAAGGTCCGAGATAATAAACGCTACTACTATAACCACATAATGCAATACTTGGGCTTATTGTTGGAACAATGTATATCTTACGTTATTACAAAACTAGGAATATTAGAAGAACAGAAAAAAAACTCGGTAATTATAATTAAGCATTAGAACAAATAGATATTGCAATACCAACAGTAGCCATTGTTCGAACCTCAATTTTTAATTAGCAAGAAACTGAATTTCTATTATTAAAAAAAAAGATCATATGAAATGTATGCGAAGCAAAAAAATATTGTATATAATTAAAATTAAATATAAGCAAAAAATTGTGTTGCACTGTGAAAGAACACAAAAAAAATATATCATACACAAAGTCAAATAAGGAAATGGTTTTCTCCAACTACTTACTCTACACGATGCCTAGAGAGTGGAGTAAGAATGGCGCATGAAAAGACATTTACAAAACAACAAGAGAAAAGCTTGGAGAGCTTTTTCTTCTGGTTGTTCGAAGTTTCTTTTGTAACGTGTTGTCAATCCCGTCTCGAATGCTTGAGTTTATTGTGCGTCATCATCCGAGCGCAACTCACCGCACATTTCATCTTGTGGAATACAGCGGATGAACGTTTTGTCTTTCACGTGATTTTAAAAACATCCTATGCACTTGGCTGAAAGAATAAAGGAAAAAAATGCAGCAAAATATGAGAGTTTTTTTTACTTTTTCTGTTTCTTTTTTTTTTTTTCATTATTTTTTTAGAAACTCTATTTTCTTACGAAGTTGGAGAGACGCTCGCTAGAGATGTTCAGTTGTTGAATGACTCTAAATGCAAATTTAATGTATCTCCTGTAATTAAATTCTTCAATATTTATTTTACATTTGGAAAAGTATAAGTATTTTCTTTTTTTTTCTTTTAGATATAACGCATTAAATTTAATAAATGTATATTATACTCTCCAATAGAAAAAAAAAATTCTCTTAAAAGAAAAGAAAAAGGTTTTTTCCCCCAAGACTAATTGATTTTACCTCGAGTAACAACGGATGCAAATCGAATAGATATCAAAAAAANAAGAAAAGAAAAAGGTTTTTTCCCCCAAGACTAATTGATTTTACCTCGAGTAACAACGGATGCAAATCGAATAGATATCAAAAAAAAAAAAAAAAGAAAAAAAAGAAGAAGAAGATGAAGATGAAGAAAAAGAAACAAAAGTGGATTAGAGGGAGTATGGTCTAAACAAATGCGGAAGTTTCTTAGGAAAGATAATATCTGGCATTAAACAACTTCAAGGAGTAATCTCGTTAACGATGTCTTTTGCGGTGAAACCTGCATGTCTCTTTCGTGTAACATATAAAAACACACATACGCAAGCAGCAAACGTTACATCTTATCTCCGTCTCCGTCGTTAGTCCTCTCGTTATCGTCGAATCGCTCGTAAATCGAGCGAACCAGAAGGGGCAAAGGGCTCCATTCCGCTCGCTCGCTTCACGAGCAATCGATTCCGACTCTGTGTCTACTCTAAATCGCAAGGAGAGATCACTCGAAAGCCTTTCAAGAGGAATCGCTCGAAATCACGTATCTATCTCTCTCTCTCCCACACACACACACAGATCTTCCTCGTAACGCCGATCGATGGATATACTTTTGGATTGAGGAGATTCTCTGTGCAAACTGTACTACTACTATTACTACTACTACTACTACTACTGTACTGACAAGAATACCGATAAATAAACAGAATCCAAAGTGGATATACTCCTTGATAGCCAAGTGATTTATTATGAATGTAATGTAAGCTGAATTTCTCTACATTTTCGAGTAAAATTATGAATAAGAGAGAGAGAGAGAGAGAGAGAGAGAGAGAGAGAGAGAAAAAGGACACAGGAGAGTTTTAAGTGGCGCTTAAAAAAGGCAAAAACATTGGAACAATGCTTCGTGAGTAGAAAACCCCCGGTGGGTCAGCCCCGTTCGAGAAAAAGGCAATGAAGAACATTATGGATCAAGTACGAACGGTGGATACGAAGTTAGTCGGGTGGGAAGGAGGGGGGTGGGGGAAGGAGGTTTAAAAATGAAAGGAGAAACTTTAGCCTTCCCATTCTGGACGTTATCGCGATTATCATTGTCGGGAGCTGTGTGCCACGGCTTATTAGAATAATACGCTTCCAGTATGTCATGGAACGGGACGATGGCCAACTAAATACGGAGGTAATTGTTCAAGGGATTGTTGTTCCAGGTTATTCTTATGTAAATCTTGACCAAGCACGGTGTTCGCCACTGCCAGAGAGTATACTCACTCTCTCACTCTCTCACTCTCTCTCTCTCTCTCTCTCTCTCTCTCTCTCTCTCTCTCTTTCTCTCATTCTACGTCTCTGTCTTTGTTAGCTGTATCTGCTTCTATACGTTTCGGAATGTGCGAGGATGGGAAAGAGAAAGATAGATAGCAAGAGAGAAATAGAGTGAGAGAGAAAGAACGTCACTGCCGTAAGCGTCTACGAATATTTGCACGGGGTAATTATTTCGTCCCTCGAGGAAAAGCCGGATTTCCGTCAGGGAGTTTTCCACGTGTTATTTCACGCCGAGCTGCGCTCCGCTTCTCGTTATAACAGCTATTGTTCTTTCCTTCGGTAGAGCCTAGTGCCCACGACGACTACGACTACGACTACGACTACGAGGAAGACAAAAACGATGAAGAAAAAGTTATAACGATGTCCAAAAATTCGAACGAGATCTTTAATTCTGTTGGATAACGAAAACAAAACGCAACGAAATATCGATTGTAATAGTTTAAGGATATGATCAAATGTTTCGATTAAAACGTGAATATATTGTATTACCTAATTAACGAGTCTCTTTGTTTCATTGAATTGATTCGAAATCGACGAACCAAGCAACCTCTTTTCCTAACCCAAAGTCAATTACAAGAAAGTAGAAAAACGAGAACGAGACAATCCGTGCACCCAAGCAGCAGCAGCAGCATCAACGAAAGCACAACTGTGCACCACCACCAACCGTTTCCCAACTACCGATGTCGAGCAAACAAATACGACACGCACAAAAAAAAAAAAAAAGACAAAAAGCAAACGAAAAAGTTAAAAAGTGATTTAAAAAAAAAACAAAAAAAAAGAAAAAAAAAAGGAAAAAGAGAAAAAAACAAGAGACTAGAAGAGAGGAAATCGTCGAGGCAGGATTCGAGCGCGAATTTGACAATAAAGCGGTACCCCGGGCTGAGCAGAAAAAAACGAGTGAGACAGTGCGAGACGAAGACGAGGGGATAGGTGGTGGTTGCGGGGTGATGGGAGGGGGGCCGGGAGGGATAGATCGAGGATTAACGTCGCGAAATATCACAAAAATATGTAAATATATCGAGACACGGGCAGTCGGCACAGATAGAAGAGGGATAAAGTTTCGATAGGGTTTTACAGAATCACTCGAGATTGGTGAGAGAGAGAGAGAGAGAGAGAGAGAGAAATGGCAAGAGTAAAGAGAGAAAGAGAGATAGATTTCCAGAGCAGAGGAGCCCCATTGAAAGATTAAAAAACTCGCTCGTGTACTCCATGTCGAATCTATACTCACGTCTCTCCTCTTCCTCCCCCTCCTCCTCTTCTTTCTCCTTCATCCCACCGTACCCTCCAACTTTTTTTTATCCCTGGACGTACAAGTGCGCGCGTAAACGGACCGTCCCGAGGAAAAGTGTAGGAAGAGTATGAGAAGCAGAGAGATAGGCAGTGGGTGGTTGGGCGGTGAATGAGGGTTAGAGAGAAAGAGAAAGAGCCTCAGGTATTTAACTACGAAAATGTCTGGCAAAAGCCACCATTCTGATCTCAGGCATAACCTAAGCTCCGGCGCTCGCATTCGGTTACGTGGACGTCGTGAAAATACATATACATATACATGGACATAGGCACGTACGAGTGTACCAAACGGAGAAGGGAAAAAGCAGACGGCGTAGATAGAGGGTCGGGAACGTTTTACTTCATTTTATTCCCCGGAACTCTCGGTTCAGTAGATACGTATACTAGTAGGTAGGTTGTAGGTACCGCAGCATCGCATAAAATCTGCCCATTGTTCTTCCTTTCCACGAAAGAAGAGCCACGTAGTAAAGAGAAGGCTTAGTTTTCTCTCTCTCTCTCTCTCTCTCTTTTTCTCTCTTTTTCTCTCTCACTCTTTATCTCTTTTTATTTCTCTTTATCTGTATCTGCCTAAATATTTCCATCTCTCTCATTTGCATTCGAGTACCGATCTATTCGTCTCTCTTTCTCTCTTTCTCTCTCTCTCTCTCTCTCTCTCTCTCTCTTGTACTCTTATTTTCCATGTTTTGCTAGGTCGTTTTAGAAAACGCTTAATACGCCCGCCATGATCCAAACCAGCGTAGAATTATAACGCAAAGCGTCTCGCGTTGGGAAATACCCGGGTTACCGCTTTTTGCCGAACGCTAAGACCACGCTTGAAAAGGAAAAGGAAAAAGGAAAAAGAAAAAAGAAATGGAAGAACTGGTAAAGAGGTGCACCTCACCGAGATGCTGTCTTCTTAACGCGTGCGCGCGTGCCGTGTTTCCGCGATTGGAAGGGCTCGAGGCCTTTTACTTGTTTTCCTTTTCTTTTTTTTCTTCTTCTCTCTCTCTCTCTCTCTTTCCCCAACCCCTTTTCTTCTGCCTACTTCTTTTTTTCCCCATTATTTTTTATTTTCAATTTATTTTTATTCCGGCGGATCCACTTTTTATTTCCCCTTTCAGACGCGCCGACGAACTCATTCGCTCACATTTTTCGTTGCGGCTCCATCATTTATTTCAGTCCGTTTCCAACGTTTCTACGGTTCTTGAATGAGGTAAGGGAAATAGAGAGAGAGAGAGAGAGAAAGAAGGATAGTTTATTCTCGTGTGTACAAAATCGGCAGAGGTTCAGAATACGGTAAAATTTAATGATAAGGGCGAGCTGTTCAAAAAAACAAGAGCAATTAAGCAAATGTCTGAGAATGATCGAGAAATGCATAAATTTTCTCATCTCTTCCCAAATAAAAAAGCTATACCACGGTTAAGTACATTAATGAGTTATTTCACTTATTATGAAAAAAAAAAAAAAAGAAAAAAACCGCTCGTTAACTAAATATTATCGTTCATAAAGAAGAAGAAGAAGAAGAAGAAGAAAAAAGAAAAAAGAAAAAACCTAGTCTAATTATTTGTCATCATTCGAGCGCATTAATGACATGTGTACATAGAGGTAATGAAACGTTGTTTATGAAGATACAACTAGTGTACGTGTTGTTTCGCCAAAAAAAAATTACCAGGTTAACGGGAAAACAAGGGGAAGAAGAGAAGGTAAAAAGTATTATGTGAGAATCGCAGGAAGAGCGAATGAGAGAGAAGGATTAAAAAAAAAAAGTGCGTTAGAGAGTGTGTGAGAGAGAGGGAGAGAGAGAGAGAGATAGAGACGGAAAATGATTCGATAACGCAATCAATCGTATCAGACAGATCGTTCGTTAGGTTCTACGTTACCATCGCCTCTCGAATTGCAAATAATCAAAGTCAGGGAAAAACGTGTTTGAAATATAATATCGTGTACGAGTTTGTTCGCATAGTCCACCCTTTGGCGAGTGCAGGGGTGTCAAAGTGAGCCCCTCGAGCATTTTTTCCTATATTCTGTTCAATTTTTCTTTATTCGCTCTATATTTCACGTGCGAAAACGGGCGCGCGCACGCTTCCATCCATCCAACTTTCTCCCACATCTCCACTCACCAAGCTACAACATGGTTTGAAATACCGATCCGCGAAATTTTTAGCATCGCACTTTGTGCTCGCGAGCGAGAGAGAGAGAGAGAGAGATTTAATAGGATAGAAGGCAATGGGATCGGTTTATCGAATGACCATGAGGGTACGTGCGTCGATCGTGTATTCTACGCTTTGCTTTTGAAATCGTGTCGAACAATATGTTTTTTCTTTTTTTCTTCCTTTTTTTTTTTAATTAAATAAATTTTATACAAATAAATATAAAAATGCACCTTGCGTTCTTTTTCTTTTTTTTTTTCCCCCACCTTCTCCACGACAACGAGTTACACGGTTCCTTGCTTAAATATTCTTTAATTTGTCGGACAAAAAAAAATAAAAAAAAGGAATGTAAAGTTTCGAGATACAGATACGGGTTAGAATATAGTGGAAGAGAAAAAAAGGGCAAAGAAAAGAAGAGAAGAGCGGAACGTCGAAGGGCAATACCGCGAGGTACGTAATTACGGTTCGACGCTTGCGTCAGAAATCTCGGACTGGAGAGAAGCTATGTAATGCGTGTGCCTGTGTGTTGGTATTGACTTCAGTCTCTCTGTTTCTCAGCACAGCCCTGCCCGAAGGGACGATTTCGATCTCTCCGACTATCATCCACGACGTATAACCTTAGTTCTCTCTCTCTCACTCTTTCACTCTCTCACTCTCTATCTCTTTCTTTCTCCTTTCTATGTATGTGTATACGTAGATCTGTGTGCACCTGTGTGTATATAACATCACCTCATCCCTTCTCCGATTCTCTTTCCCAACATCACTACCAACATAGTCACGCGTAATAACCGCGAACGATTCGTTCCAGGCATTCCGTCGATCAGATTAGAGAATCCCAAGCTATACGTGCGTTCGCGTATTAGATCCTCGTGAGTGCGGCTTACCCAGATCTTATCGATGACGATCCCAAAGAGAAAACGCTTTCCGCATGGTCCCCGACCATTCTTCGTTACCAATGTCCTCCCTAACAACACGATAACTTGGAATTTCGGTACACCCATAAGCATTGAATCTGTCGGATACGTACTACAAACTGTCCTCTTTCGTATTTTATTTGACAATATTCTAAAGGATTTGTAGTCCAGGTGATGGTTGGATAATAAAATATATCACACGCCCACGCGAAGACAACGTGGAATTTTCGTTAAAAGGATTTTTTAAAATATCATTCTTAGAACGTATCTATGCATAAGGAATAAAATTAATCATATATTCTATATATATAAAATTATAAACCTAGTTTCGCAGTTCGTGGGATTAATGAATGATTCATGAATAGATTAAATCGAAAAGATAAAGAAATTTTATATAAACCAGTGAATTGCGATACCTTCGTAGGATAAAATCCTACTTACTAAAGTAATGATTTAGTTGTTATAGTTGAAGAACGAAGAATTGTATGCACTGTTCGTTCTACATCGGTTTCTGAATATGAACGAGATGAAGGAACAGGATGAGGAAGTGGGGGAGGAAGGTTGGTTGGTGCGTTCCTCGCTTATGGTATGCGCAAGGAGGGCATAAACCGAGACAATAGTCGCCTTAGGGTATTCGAGATGACCGCCATTAGGTGCACGTCCCTCAACTCCCTCACCTCTCTCTTTCTCTCATCTCCCTGATCTCTTTCCGCCCTTCTCCCATCTCCACATCTCCACCTTTACTCCTCGTACTTTAACTTACGAACGTAGGTAACAACCAGAAAGGACAAACTATCCTTTTGCTTCGTTGGAATTTCACGCTGGTACTTCAACTTATATATATCCTATCTATTTTCCTCTTTGTAAGTTATTACCATCACGAGAATGATGAAAACATTTTAATGATTAACGGTTGTAATCATTGTTTATCCAATTTCTCGAGTCAAGTATTTCCATAGATGGTACTCTGCACAAATGGATCTCATCAATTACAAGATCATTCGATGCAATCAGCACGAACGATCCTGCCTAATCTACCAACAAATCACCAATCGTTAGGAAGTATATACTCACTCCGGAAGCTTAGAAAGCAGAGATTACGAAGGTAGTTTAGACGCGTGAAACTTTGCCCACAGAGAACACATTATTCTCGGATGCGATAATCGGCATATTCTCTCTCTCTCTCTCTTTCTCTTACAGGAAGAGGCAGAAAGGGAGGTTACGATCTCGAGTCTGTTTTCAACGTGTTCCTTTCGAACGTGGATAGAGGAGGAGTTTCGGAGTTTCAGGGGCCGAAGGAAGGTTTCCGTGCGATATATGAAAGTGAGGCTAACAGGATGGTGGTGGAGGGGACTTACAACGAGAACCTTCTTCTCTCTATCTATCTATCTCTTTCTCGCTCCTACCACAAGTGAGTAATAAGTACCTGCCCGCCTTGAAAGCAGAGACTTGATTCATTTCGCGGTAAGTACAGAGCACGGCACACCGGCATGACGCCTTAGGCTCTCTTTCTGTCTCTCTCTCTCTCTCTCTCTCCATCTAACTTGTTTTATGTTTCTTTCTTTGTTTTCACTCCGTACCGTCCCACAGAAACGTAGTTATTCTCTTCCGAAGCGTACAACTCGGCACTTCGGAGGTGGAACCGCGTATTTCTCGGATCTTGGTATGCTAATGTTGTCTGCTTGGAAAAGAATTCTTTGCACGTGTATATCTTACATATACTTCTAAGGGTTCTTAACTGTTTTTTCTTTTTTTTTTTTTTTTATTATATTTTACAGTTAGTCATATACCCCACCATAATAGGCATACAAAATGTTGAATGTTAAAATACAGTCTTATTACAGAATTGTTTTTAGGTTATCAATAAATCGGATTATCGTTAAACGAAAAGTTCTCGAAATAACGAGATCACGAAGCAGTCAATAAAAATTCTCTATCTTTTCTCTGAGCGACTATCTAAACGATTAACCATTTGGAGTGTTCACGTAGGAACATTTTGACGTTCCCTGATACGATTTTGCTAAATGAAAAAAGAAAAAGAAAAAGAAAAAGAAAAAGGAAAAGGAAAAAAAAAAGAAAAACAGAAGAAAAAAGGAAGACACGAAAATGTGGAAAACGAACACGAGGAGGGAGAAAAAAATTGGGTAGAACGAGGTGGAAATATATAAAGAAATAAAGAGGGAAAAAGACAGGTAGAAAACAGGGATAAAAGAAGGGCAATGTAGCAAAGAGGGGTTTGCGGGGTGGTGGGCGAAGGTAATTCGATTATGGCAGGTAGACGGACTACGATCGTACGTAGAGAGTTCGCGAAACTCGCATATGTGTGGGTGGGAGGAGAACGTGCTAGAGAGAAGGACAGTGAGATGAGCAACGAAAAGAGAAAGAGAAAGAGAAAGAAGAGAGAGAGAGAGAGAGAGAGAGAGAAGAGCGTTTGGAGGAGTACACGTAAAGTGGTCTGAAACGAGGTTATCATTTTCTCTGGGAAAAACCGTCAGTCGAGGACCTGCGGGGATAGGATGCCGTTAGATGCACTGAAACTCGATGGGAGAAACGTTTGACGGACGAATATACCAAGTTTTCACGTTGGGGAAAACGTATACGCCGATATCCATGAATTAGGAATGAATCTCTTCTGTCCTGTATCTCTTTTTATATTTTTCTCTCTTTCTCACATAACATGTGCTTCGAAGAGTAAAAAGTCGAGGTGTTTGGTGGTTGAGGTAGAGAATGCTAGAGTCCCGTTACTAAAACTACTATGAGTCTTCCTACTTCATAGTCCGTTTCCTGCGATCGTGGTCCCTTTTTATCATCCAATGTATATACACCTATATATATATACCTATATACTCCACCTATATACTAGAAAATGTTCTTTATTGAGATGAGACGAGTAAGGGTTTCGGTAAATACGTGCAACACTTGTATTTAAATTGTTTCCTATTGGTGAAAATTAAAACAAATGATTAAACGATCATGTTGCTTTATAAAAAAAGAAAAAAAATATATAATCTAATAAAAAAGAGCGTGAGATACTTGAAATAAAAGGAAAATATTCAGATTTTGTTCTTTTTATTACAGTTTACCCTCGCGTAAAGCATTCACAAGAATACTTGGAAGAAGACAATAATGGTGGTAGTAATAAAAGATAAGACAAACCGTTATGGATTGAAGCGTTTGCTTTTGCCGAAAGTACGCGATAAAGGCTTCCTCGGCCAAACGTATACCTTTCCCGATCGTTTCACGAAATCGTGAAATATTCTAGAGTTTTGGGTAAGCCAGATGCTGCTCCTCTACAAGTAAAGTCGTAGCCAAAGCCGAGTAGGAGTTACATGCGCGATCGTCTTGGTCGTTTAGTACTCGCGGGACTCTGAACGTGTAGAAGAAGAGAAGAAGAGAGAGAGAGAAATAGAGGAAAGGAGAAAAGTTTTGAATATTACAAAATATACCAGCAATAAAGTTTTCAAATATGTCGCACTGTGAGCTTCTTAAAACGTTAAAAGAAATGCTTCGTTTCTTCTATCCTACGTTGGTACGGTAAAACTCTACTTTTAAAAATATGGCGAACTATAGACAAAATGGAAATCTTCTTTTATGTCTTTTGTCTAATAAGATAATAGATAATAAAACTATATATATAAGAAAATGTTCAACTGTGGAATATTCTCTTTTTCTAAAGAACGACAAAAATAACAAAAAATTAAAAGGAATGTTAAAGAAAGGTAAGATTGTATACGTAGATCGTTACTAATAGTCTCGCCTCTTTTCTCGGCAGAAAACTTAAGCGAAAGTTTTACTGCTGTAGACGAAAATAAAGTCTCTCTCTCTTTTCTCGGAGAAGAAGTATCAAACAAAATATTCGTAGAAACAGAAACGGGAATATAAAGATATCTCGAAGAAAAGCACGAAACATTTAACGCGGCGTGCTTGGGGTATCGTGGCTAAGAAAGACGTGGATATATGTAATGATGCTCGGTGGTAGGGATAAAATAGCGAGAAATGGTAGGAAATACGAAAAATGATGAAAAGAGAATTTCACGTTTTATTCAGTTTTCTCCAAATATTGCGATGAATGAGCAAAGAGTAAAACTCCCAACATTTCGAGAAATGAAAATTTATTAGTTTTATATATACGTACACCTAAATGGAGTTACCGACGTATAACGTATATATAATTTTCAACACTCGAGAAAAAAAAAAATATCGTGTTTGTTTTCGCACTAGGTGGTACTGATAGCTGGAAGCTCTGGCAACTCTGGGATTTTTATGAGGATAATTTGACACTTGTTTTATCCCGGCATTTGCCGAACGAGGCGTTTCGAAGAGCTTCTGAAGCGCGATATGCGAACGGCCAAACGTTTCCTACGAAGGTTTACGAGCGTACGTGTGTATACGTGTAAGTACGCGTGTGTTATACACGTAGAGAGAGAGAGAAAGAGAACGACGATCCACACGAAAACCCTTCTTTTTATTTTATCGTCTTTTGTCCGCGCGTAGGGTACATAGAACGACGACAAAGCACGCAGTTTGCCGCTCGCATTACGCTCGTTATACCTTCCACTATAGCTCGTTAATCTCATGGTAATGTTTTTCATCTCGCTTTCCGCACCAGCGTTCGCTAATTTTCTAAAATAACATCTGTCGACAGATTTGTTTAATACCTATACTTCATTTTTTCATTTTGCATTAAGAGATGACAAGCGCTCAATGAGAATATAGAAAAGTGTGTGATACCTAAATTCGACTTGAAGTGTAAGTATTTTTAATATAGGTAAATTTACTTAATTACTAGACTATTAATTCTTTCGTTTTTTTTTGCAGATTTGCACCGTACTCGAAAATTAAAACTATTCAAAATATCTGTGCCCACATATAATATTTATTTCACTTTATGAATAATTTCAATAGCAATAATTTATGATAGAAAATAAAGAACTCAATGGATTGTAATATGTGTTAATTACTTGTTATTACGAGGATTGTGTAAGTTTTTCTAAATTATTTTAAAATTATTCTTTATATACATATATGTATGTATTGAAGTTATTACTTCTCTGAAACAAAGTAAAATGAGAATAAAATTAGAATCATTCTTGATTGTGTTCTCTGTAATATATGTGAAAATACAAAATTGATTAATACACATTATAATGTAATTAGTTTCTGTTGATAAAATGAATAGGAGGGATCAAGGGAAGCAATAAAAACATGATATTAATTAGGAAGTTAAAAGAAACTAATTACAATTATAATGTTTATAGTAAGCGGTCTTTAGCTGGATTTTACTTGCAATAGAATGTATAACATATAAAATATGTTAAACATTATACTGAAAGTAAAACACCATTGCCCAGGTCTAACCACGAGGAGGTAACCGCTTCTGAAGACCCGGGATGTGCATCCTGAAGATGTCCGCATCCGAATGAAATTGAAACCAAAGAAAATGATCACCCCAAGAACGTTTTTTAATGAGCCCCACTCTTAGGCCCCACCCTAAGAGTTTCACCTAAAAAACATTACAATAGTTTATGAATATTTCATAGTTAATCATTTTCAATGTACATAAAATAAAGTAAAATAATACAAAAAGTATGCAATTATGGATTGTTCCATTGAATCTACGAACAAAGAAAATACATTAAAAATAATTATCCTACGCGTGCAATGCTACGGGGAAAACTATAAACAGATCAAAATTATACATTTAATTATTATAATAATAATTTCCATATATAATCCGTTACTATCACTAAGTCCTCGCCTGGTCCTCCTCATATTGAAAATGCAACAAAAAAAACACAGGACTAGGGAATAAGAAGAAAAGTGGACCCGAAAACGAACCAGAAAAAGAAAAAGAAAAGATTACTTTAGATTTTCAAAGATGCAATGAATGATCCATGCTACTTGTAACAACATGAAAGTGCATAAACAATGATTTATCTCACGGGTGCGATGCAATATTAAGGTAATAAACATATTAAAATATTACCACTTACCATAACTCAGTCCACTTCCGATCCCCCTTTCACCTGTTCTTGAAAAAAATTTTGCATCGTCTCCATAATTCATCCTGCCAACAAAATATTAAAACTAGGATCGTTTGGTGTGGGTGGAATTTTAGGTAAGGACATGATTCTATCTTTGGAGGTAAGATAGAATCAAGGCTCGCGTGGGCAGGGTCGCATCCCTGAAGTAGACCTTTTTCCGCAAAGAAAGAATCTACTCGCTACCCATTGAAAAAAATACTGGAAACGAACCTGAAAAAGAAAAAAGAAAGATTAATTTAAATTTACAAAGATCCAATGAATGCATCGAAAGCATGTTCCTTTTTTAAATGAAGATCCAATGAATGCATCGAAAGCATGTTCCTTTTTTAAATGAAAATCCAATACTTACACACAAATGCATTGGAATTAATCATATCCTGAAACAAAATAAAATGAAAATTAATTTAATATATAATATAATAATCGATTAAATCTTTATACCCCTAAAAAAATAAAAGAGACATTAAAAAACATTATAAAATAATTAGTTTCTACGAATGCAATGAAGAATGAAAAGTGGGGAAACTGTGTGTAATAGGAAATTAGAAAATGATATGATATTGGATCGATAATTTGGGAATGATATTGTACTCTATCATGATTTTAAAATATTTTCTGTCTTTTAAATGAAATATCATTTAAAATCAAATTTTGATAATACTCGATTTATTTTTAGGAAAAATTATGTTCGATGTGTGGTGGGTGGTATGGCAAATCCCACGATGGTAACCTGAAACATTCA